CACTACGTTTTCTTCTATGTTTGTATAAGAGTAAAAAATAATGAGGTAAGACCAAGTGTGTGTATGTGCAACTAAAATAGCATATGTCAAGAACATTCAAGCCGGTTTCCACAATCCTTGTGTGAAGCGCTGTAGCCGCTCCGATATAGTCAACAAAGACCATCATAATAAAACCCTCCGCTACTCCCGCTTGATTATTTATAGGAAAGAGTTCACAAGGGAAAAAAATTATATCTTTAGTTTCCTACTCTCTCTCTCTCTCTCTCCCCCTCTCTCTCTCTCTTTCTCGCTTAATAACAATAAAAGCGCGCGTACAAGAGTGTCATATTTAATTGTCGCGACGGATTGCAATCTCTCTTCCGAGAGACTTGGAAGCATCGAGGCTCTTTTGACGGTTTCTACCCGCTTTTCTCTTTTCTACCGGTCGGCCTTCGCGTCGCGACAAGCTCCGATATGTGCGAAACACAAAAATTTTCAAGACGACGCGCGCGACACACAGAGTCAGGTGTCGGAAAAATGAATGAAGAAGCGCACTTCATCTGACTCGGCAAAAATTGCTGCAATCCATCAACGACGGATGCGTCGACAGAGCAAACATCTTGGCCAACAGAAACAAAAGTAGTTTCGCAGTAACATTTAATCACTTACACATTTTACATTTCACGATATTTAATTGGTGTACAAAAAATTCAGTCGTCAGAAATAAAGAGGCGTTTTGTAAGAAATTTATTTTTTTTCTTCGAAACTCCGTTTTTTGCGAAACGAGAATTTGTTGCGAACAATGTAAATTGGCAGATATATTCTTGCGCAAATGACGCGTTTCCAAGGGGGGAAGGGGGAGAAATCAAATTACGTCGCAGAATAAATCGAAAATGAGACAAGAGGAGCAATAACTATCTCTCGACGGTTCTCTTCCGGACCGTATCTAAGTCAGAGTGAATCATCCCGCGTGAAAAATGGCGGAATGACGACGAAAGAGCAAGAGAAAAGGAGACAGCAACTTTACCGTAGTCGAGTTATAGCCGGTTGGTTATGTTATGTAAGACTGCTAAAAATATCGTCGAATGAGTGACAAGCACTTGGCTTATTCGGTCGTATTCGTTGTTAGACAATTCGAAAAACATGAGACGATCATTTGTAAAGGCGAAAGTCCTTCTCTCATCCGCGAACCGGTTTTCGAGCCACGTCGAAATTCCTACAATTTCAGAAAAATCAACGCATTCTAACTCTCTATATAAAGCAAAATTAGATTTATTTACTTAGAAAAAAATAATAAAGATGGCTTTAAAAGCTATATGTTAGGCGTAAATGCGAAAATTACTGCGTGTACATATATTTTATTAATTAATTTAATAAATCTCTTTTATAATTCCGGGAGTAAACAGTTAAATAGATTCTTTTTCGTAATTCGCAATCTTTTTCCTATTATGCACATGTGAGCGCAACCGGGTTTAATATTTTCAAACTTCCGCTGGATCAAGCAAATTTCTCGCTCTGTGCGTCCAAATTTGTTCGATACCCAAAAACCTAGCAGCTAGCAAAACCTACCGACTACGCATCGCAAACTTCACGTTCGACTGTCAATCGTTGGCTTGGCATAGATCCCACGAAAAGAAGCCGAAGGTTACGAAAATCGGTTCTTGCTTACTTTACTCCTAAGAAATGCGCGTGTGAGCGAAGTATATAACCTTCCACAATCTTCTCGAACTTAAGTAGAGCGAGCGAAAATAATGACATGTTTTTGTTTTTTATTTTTAGTTACATACATATATATATATAATGTAATTAAATTACATTTGTATTTTTTCAAAAGTCTACTTCTACAATCTCAAAATTGATCGACTGCTTTTATCAACGGCCGATGTCTTTTTCGCTTTTTTTTCGAGATTTCCACCAAAAAACGGATTAAATTGTCGAACGAGAAAAGGCGGAGAACCGACCAATCTTACCAGACGAAAAATAAAAATCGCCGAGTATCTCGCTGCGACGACGTAAAAAGCAGGTCACGCGGAAAATCTAAGACCGATGGGAGAAACGCGCGAACGGGAAAGATATTCGAGGCTTCGAAATAGAATCTTCAAATTCCCGGGCGCGAAACGCCAGAGTAAGCACCAGGAGAGACGTTTTGCTATCCCGAAGATTGTAACCTTCGGGCGATGATACAGATTTTCATCGGGAGGAAGAGTCATTGCACTTTATGCTGAATGGGCAGCGAGTCAACAACCCGTTCTCTATCTATCTGTGTATACATGTTTATATACACCTTTACGGTCTTCTTCCCTCACTCTTTTACGTTCTCCTCCCGTGAGGAAGAGGAAAAACGCGAGACGGAAAAGGGAGAAGAGAACGGAAGCGAGGACGCGGGACGACGCAGAGAGGATTGGAGTGAAGAAGGCGAGGTCTGGGAATCGCTTCATGCATCGGAGAGCACGAAGCGCTCGCGTAATAACACGATCAGAAGGTGAGCGAACACCGTCTCACGCGTGCACGCACTTTTCGTGCACGCGGACACGCGTGCTCGCCCTCGAATTACACGGAGCAGTTAAACGCGCGGCGAAAGCGCAACGAGTGCGCGCGCCCTATTTTTAATATTACACGATAAGCTTATAAGACGCACGCCGCGATGATCGCTACAAAAATCTCTACGCATTTACGGGGAGACGACTCCCCGAAGGTCAACCCTTTTACCCGAGAGTGTACATTCAAGTGTACGTAAAATACGCGATCTAACAATTAAGTTCGCCGACTTCACACTTTGTTCAAACAGTACGAGATTTATAGTCCCTCTTACGATATATATGTATATTGCAGAAAGAAAAGTTTATAAAAACAGTTTTAGATGTATAAAAAAAAAACTTAAATAAAACTTATAATAAAAAATTACGCTTTAGCAACTAAAAACGTAAAGGAAAACGAGTTTACTCTCGCTCTAAACGTTACAATATGCCCACAGAGCTCGGTTGTCAAGTAAAATTAATACGGGGGAGCGCTGTGTCGCGTCTATCTTTTTCCAGACATCTAGTCTTGTTCACGGTCGCCGGCGACTTTACGCCGCATTTTGCGTTTTCATCGAGGCGTGAGACGTCGAGCGAAAAGAGAGCGAGCGAGAGGAAGAAAGAGAGAGAAAATTCAACCGGTAATGCTGTATTTTTTCTATAGCGTGTTAGCAATCACTCTATTCTATTTATCAGCATTTTAAAACGCTGTAAGATATACCGAACGATAACAGCAGCAGCAAGTTGTACATGCCACTATAATTGCTGAAAAAAAATCCATTTTATAAAATTTTGACAATTAAAATATCTCATGTTGTTAACATGTTACACGTGATATCACCAAAAATAGTCAGCGAAAATCGACTTACATGAGTTTAATTCTGTTCCTCGCGTGGAAACCGCTGCCGCAGTTTTTTCTTGGGAACAAGGGTTTTGCCAGTGGATACTATTTCTCGTAAGCGGAAAAGGGCGTTACAACTACTCCGTCTCTTTTTCCATTTGCGACTACACAGTTTCAACTTCGTCAAGACAGTCAAGTTTCAAATGCTTTTTCAAACGTCCAAAAATACAATATCAACAGAAAAAATTTGCCGACGAAATCGATATACCGCTCCGTTCGCTCGTTTATTAATGACTGCTATCAACATTAGCAAAAAAAAAATTATAATTACACTCTTAAACAGCAGGAATGTATCTGCGGCGCGAGACACGTATAAATATGAATACCACTTGAGATGCAAGAATCCTCGATATATTGCTGTTCTATTTTTTGAATAGACACTCAAAGTAGACATGTCGAGAGAAGCTGTCACTCAATGATTTATATACGTTCGTTCACAAGGTCGCTGCGCTGGTCCCTCTCTTTAAAACCCGCGTAAATGATGATCGTTAAGTATTGTCGATACGAGAGCCGCTTTCATAAGACGAAATGGAAAAAAAGCATAATCCTCAAGAATATATACACGATCAAGGCCGTCTGATTAATGTCGTTGCTCATCGAATATAGGCAAATAACCTATCGTATAGCGATCGAAGCAAATTTATTGGTCAAAATGTCATTTACGGTAGATCTTACGTCATCAGACTATTAGCAAGAAAATAAAATTGCAATTTGATTAAACTAAAAATATTCATTTAGAGGTGTGTGTGTGTGTACACACATCCACACAAAAATACTTAATGTAAATCAAATACACAATATCTATTTATTATGAGAAAATTACCATGAATTCTCGAAAATTTATTGAAAAAAGCGTATAATAAAAAAGGAAATATATAATTTAAGATGACGAAAGTTCATCGTCAAACAAAGAAATAAATCACATGTAGCGCACACGCGCAAAACCGACGTGGCTAATATTCAAAAATAGTTAGCTTTAATCGCGTATCATTCGAGCTGAAGACTAAAAAGCGATTCAAAGCAATTTTACCTCGCGTTACGTCACAATAATCTTCATTGACAGCCATCATCCGTAGATATTGGAAGAGACTTTTCATTTGCAGCTCGATATAAAAAAAAGTACAATGCTATTGTAAAGCTTAATAATGTAGACTATAAAATAGTCTATACATTATTTTCGACGAATAAAGCATTAATGGAACTGTCAAGATCATACTACTTCAATAAAAAATGTAACTTCACATTTTTTTTTAATTCTAAATTTTTTTTCTGTATCTGCACATTTGATCTTATTTGATCGTTTAATAATTCATATTATTTTCATGTTTTATTGTGTATAAAATTTTCTTACTGATAATTACATTGATAAAACGTGCAATTTTAGTAGATACGATGAAAGGTTCTATCAAGTTTAGACACAACTGTAGAAAAGTTCGAAACTCGTACTTTTTCGCAAGTTGTTTTACAAAACAACTCTCTCATTTCTACGCAAAGAAAATTGAAAACATCGTTTGTCGAGTTTTACGTGACTACAAACGTCAACAAATCTTTCTTTCATAGTATCTACAAGGAGAAAAAAAAAACAAACAAACAAACAAACTTACCTGAACGTCAAAATGTGTAGTAGTGTCTTGCGGCTGTGGAGGACCTTGTTGTTGTTGTTGTTGTTGCGACGGCGGTGGACCCTGTGGCGGTGGAGCTTGTGCTCCAAAAAGTTGCGCTGCTGCATGCGAATGCGGATGTTGCAGATGATGAGTTGGTGGAGCTTGATGATGTTGTAAATGATGTGGCGGGGCCGCCGCAAATGCCGCCATAAAGTGTTCCTCATTGCCGACAACGTCAACCCCAGGTTTCAAAAGAACAACGCCACCGCCACCGGCGCTTACGGCCAAAGTCGCGGCGGCGTTCTTTTGAAACTCTTCCTCACCGGGAGATGGTTGGCGGCTTCCAGGTGTGCGACTGCAATAAAATTAAAGACACAAATAAGAAATATTTTATTTAATTAAATTCTATCTAAATACACATTTATATATATGTATATCTTGATAAAAAATTAATAAATATCGCCACATTATTATTTTTGAATTGTAATAAATGTTTAATTTTAGTTCAAACAAATTTACAAGATTTAATACGTAAGTAAATATAAGAATAATTTTAATGGGGAAGAGCTGGCCAATACGAGACAAAAACCAGATCTTCGGGTAAACAAACTTCTTTATTTAACGTTGTACATACGCTTCAGTCCAAAATTGGATCTTCTTCAGTGACTATACACAACAAATTCATTCATTAATTACAAAAATTACTTTAACGATCATGTTGTGTATAGTCACTAAAAAAGATTCAATTTTGGATCGAAACGTATGTACAACGTTGAATAAAACAGTTTCCTTACCCGAAGATCTGGTTTTTGCCTCCTATTGACTGATATTGGCCACCTCTCTCCTATTATTATATTTCACGAAGACGAATACATTGTAAGAATAATTTTATTTGTCATATGAAAAAACACCGTGTATGTGTGCATGATGTAAGAGTTTCTTAGCAATAATAAACTTTTAAATGTCAGTGATTGAATAAATAACGAATACACAAATAATGTTTACTAAATCAGAAATTAACTCTGAAAACTCCTAAAAATGATGTTTATTAAAAATAATATAATCATAGTTATAATTAAAGTTTATTAAAACAAAAACGTTTTGAATTTTAATAGAAAAGATTTATTGTACGTGTGTAATTCCGTCTCTAAAAATTCTTTGCTGAGTGAACATTATCAACTTTTATATAAAACGTAAAATGTAAAAAACACTTATTTTTATTACGTAGATGAAGCTAAGACTTTTAGTACACTCAATTTCCTTTGAATAATTCCGCGTAAAACAGCACTACATACGACTCCATGTCCGTAATTGACTACATGTCGTATAACGGTGCACTTTGCATAATAGCAACACGCGTAACAGGACGTAATCCGCAGGTTAGACAACTCGCGTTACTGATCTCATGAGAAAAGAAACCGTATGCATATTAGCGATGAAATGATGTCATTACTTTAACAATAAAGTGTGTTCTTTATATATTCATGTTTTAATATTCACAAGTTTTTTCATCTAAATCTTTCTTAAAACCTCAAAGGAATCTAAAAAATAAACTTTTTTATGTATATCTAACGTAGAAAATCTTATAAAAAATAAAATGTAAAAAATAATTAAAAATAATTAGCTTTTTTGTAAAAAATATTGACAAAATTTTAATATATATTACATATATTTAATACTATATTAACTATATATCACGTGTATCTTTTAAATATTTAAAAAAATAATTAGTATTTAAATTACTTAATTTACTAAAACACACAATATATAGAATGCAAAGTAAAACGTAGCACAAAATAAAGCGGATGAATAATGTCGGTAATGTCGATGTTGATTGTGCCTTCTGTTGTGTGCTACTGATGGCGCAGCATTGCTAGGAGCATTGCTGAGCACAACGAACTATCGCGAAAGGAAAAGGAAAGAATGTGATGTCATCGTCCGCGTGTAGAGCATGCCCTTGACAGTTATCGTTATTGTGCTATTTTACCGTGCTACTTGCGATAAATGTAATACATATAAAAACATAGATATCAAATAAAAAAGAATAAATAAACGAGAAATACAAAGTTTCAAGTTATTCAATTGCTCTCGCAACTTATATATCTGATATCATTTATAAACTTTTAAAATTTCTTTTGCTTGAACACTTATTTACAATATAATATCCACACATCTACAATACACACATTTACAATTGAATGAGTTTTGTCAAAATCTCTGTTACAGATATTGCATAAAGATAAAAATAAAATTTTACTCTTTTAATATTAAATAACTTTACCAATAAACAAATTTTCACGAAACTTACTTAAATCCTTTGTCGTCGTCGAGACCATTTTGAGAAGCCAAACCATTGCCTTGTGGCCCAGTATCATCCTTTGTACTGTCAAAGGGACTTGCCGATCCTTTCTCTTTTTCTTTCTTGTCAGTATCTGGATTCTATGCAAGAGATAATAATCAAATGTAATATTTTTAAGTACACATCTATATATGACCTGCATATATCTAAATACACTCTATCAAATAAATTTTTATAACACATATTACTCACCAATCTCAGAGAAACCATTCGAGGTTCCAGATCTTTTGGTGTAGTAGGACTCGTTCCAAGGACATATTCAACCATTTTAACTCCCAAACCACCTGTTTCACTGCAAAAAAATGCATTAACGACATTACTATTAGATAATATGAAACTTCTTTTTACATATAATACGCAACTTTCCCTTAAATTATTAATGTAACATTATAATTCTTAAATTATAAACTTATAAAAATTATAAATTTTTCAAGCCACTTTGATGTCAAACATATAATGTTAAATCTTTATCTAGGTATTTTATGTCTTTAAAATTTAATTCATATATGAGTATTTACATGTTCAATTTCTTATGACTTTGACAGCTTAAGAAGTTTGTTAAGTAAGTACATAAAAAGAATACAAACCTGCTTCTAGGACTGAGCACTGTTCCAACTTCGGACGCTTGATGGTGATATCCAGTTCCAACACCCACACGTCTACCGGTACCCATTGAAATGGGTTGTGAAACCGCATGATCTGGAAAGAACAAGTATGTATCAACTATATATATATACATATACACATATATATAAATATTAAATGTGTAAAAACGATAAAAAAGAAACTATTTTCTTCATAAAGAATAAATATATATCTGATAAAAAGTATCGATAAAAATTGTAAGTCAATATACAGAAGAAGATCAGTATAAATACAAGTATCTTTTCCTAATAAAATTTTTTTCTTTTCCAAATAAAATTCGCGTTGTAAAGCATTCTTTCATAAAATTCATACATAATATACTGTTTGTTGCTCTATTTCTAGACACGAGTTTATATCATTTTATGTTTTACGAGAAATGTGCCAGTGAAATGGCTCAAATCCTGTTTCAACTCTAATCCTGTAAATCCCTGACATTAATATCCGAGCAATTTTTGAAAAATAACTGTGATATCTTATTAACTATTTAGTGGAGAAATGTCTAAAAAAGAAAAACATCAAAACTAATACTACTTTCTTTAATATAGAATGTTGAATAAAGCTTCATAAATTTTTAGATTATTTGCAACGCTTTAACCGATAAAAAAGTCGCGTCAAATATAAATGTCAAGGAGTACAGGATAAATATCTAAAAACAAACGTCTACAGAATTAGGATTAAGTTCACATTCACATAATATAAAAATAACTAGAGATGAGATAATAGATTCTTTATAAGACATTTCAGAGAAAAAACCTGTGTTTATAATTATCAAACATATATAATTCAAAATTTCCTATAAACATGGTTCGTGCTTTGTGACCAAATATCAATAAAGTATCTAACAACACATCTTTACATAGAGAAAGACAGTGGCACAACATGTATATAAACAAATATTTCACCGCCATCTCGAGAGGCAGCCACGGAATGAATATTATCGAACGAGAGATTCCGTTAGGCTCTCATATATAGACGGAGACTTTTTTCCGTCCTTTCTCTCTCCACGCGACTTCACATGACGCCAATACATCGCGCGGTGGCCCAGGTGGACGATCAGAGGGTTGGTCGGTCGGGGTGCGCGCTAACGGGGTGGATCAGTAGGTACGATCCTGGGCGTTGGGACGTTGCCCCCACCGCCGTCGCTGATGCCGGGCGTCTGTCGCCATGGCAACAGCCGCGTTGCACCCATCGCGGTATGACGCACACACGATCACTACCGCCACCGAAGCCGGTACATGCCGCTCTTGCAAGAAATCAGGTGTTTTGCGCACACCCCGTATATATACTAGTTATATCATTTTATATGCTTTAAAATTCATTTAATCCACAGTAATTTTTTCATTTCAAACACTCGTCTACAGATGTTTGCGTATTATGACTCAGGCTCGAATTCGCAAAATATTTTATAGATCAGAAAAAAATATCAATAATTTTTTCTCTTGGAATTATAAAAAAAGTAAATAATTTAACATGTTCATGTATATGCACCATAAACAAAAAATGAATTAATTACAATATCAAACCATCAGACAAATCAATATTGAGTTATCGAATGTAATTAGATGTAAGTGTAATTAGATCAAGGCTATGTCGTAGATAAGTGACATTCTTTTTAGATTTAGAAGACCGGGCATTCAGGTCCGATAAGAAATTATTTGGTAATATAGTAGTTCCAATGTTCAATTTTTAAAGTAAACAAGTAAATAAAAGATAAAATATCTACTTATTTCTTTAAAAAAAACACACATTCTATTAAGTTTTGGTTTTACAAAATTTGATAATACGTGTAAAAGAACAAAACGATCAATATTTGTCACAAACAGAACAAAATAAATCTCATCGCAAAAAAAAGTTGAAATAAAAATCATATTGAAAGAGAGCTTTTAGAGATATTTTCAATTGCGTAATCGATGTTGTCATTTAATTCGTTGTGTGCACTGCGTAAAAGCTTGATGCTATCCCTCTTTTTTTAATCCTCCCTGGACCAGCCGAAGGCGACGGTAGCGAGCGATACGTTCATACATCTACATGTTGTCCTTTTAGTACTGTATTAATCAATAAGCACGCGGCCATAAAATACGTGGCATTGCTTTGTCGTGATTTCTCATTTTTACAAAGATTGCTAATCTATGATTGGCCAATGCACATTTTATACCGAGAGAACAATTCTTTCACTCTACTTTGAAAATTGTATTTGTTAACAGTCGTTAAATTGTAATTTGTAAGTATTATAAACCAGTTATCACACAATCTATTATAAAAACATTTAAAAAAAACTCAATCACACACATACATAATGAAAAAACTCTATATAAATATACAATTCAATAATAAATATTGTAATTGAAATAATTATATCAGCATTACTAGTAATTTGACAATGTGTAATGAAAATTACACAGGGTCTGCAGTGCTCAAGTTTCTGAAGTATACTGTTTTGAAACGATTGTTTGTGACCTTTACGTTTATCCAAGAAGTTTCAATTACATCAACTCGAGTTTCGTAAGCGCGCATTGCACTTCCGCTGACCACACCGATCGAAATTCCGCCAGCGGACATGCCGACAATCTAATCGCGTAATCGTGCTGTGATATACATAAATCGTACCTGACGTGCTCCAGGTAGAATCTCGCCACATGGTGGTCTGGTGGTCACCCAGGTGAAGCAAGTTCCCACCACCTTTTACACTCCCTTCATCCTTGGAACTGCCCTCGTCCATGCCCCAGAGCTTTTTTGTCGAGGGAGCAATCTGAAACACGAAGAACGAGAACAGGTCGTAAGCCTCCGGTCGTAAGTCAATGTGCATTCTTTTAAAGTGAGTTCGCCACCACGAAATTTCTATGACTTCTCTTTGTCTTTCATCAGTACCGGGAAAGTAAATGTACGACGATAAGATAAGCAGAGTTTTGTAATATTATACATCACACACCGAACTCTTCCGAATACACATGGATCAAATTCTGTTTGTTGCGAGTATAAATTATTAACACGACGCTTTACTGACCCATTGCACTTCTCGTCTGTATTTTTCGGAATATATACTTACGCAATATATATTATCACATAAACTTAAGAAACAGAATGTAACACTGAAATATGGAATCGAGTTTTTGAAAAATTGTATTAATGTTTTGCTTAAAAAGAAAAGACAGACCGGAATTAGTTATCACGTTGTTTACATATTGATTACAAAAGTTATGTACACAATATTTTATAATATTGCGTACATTTTCTAGTGTGTAGCTCCTTTAGTTAAAAAAAAAAAAAAATTACTCTTAAAGTTATTTAATTCTAAACAAGATTGTGTAAATCGAACAATTACCCAGATCGGTTAATAATGTAAAATTGCTTGTTACGTACTTTCACATAAGAAAAACTAAGACTAATTATTTCGATTTTAATGTTTTATTAAAGTCAGTTTAATATTACGCAATTTGGTCGGTTACTTTAAATCATGTAATCATTTGAAGTTAAAATAAAATATAGATAACTTATATGTTATTGAAAGATTAAATGGTCAATGATCCACTTTTCAACATCTTATGTATTCAACGGAAATGGATCCTATTATCAGCTTGGAAGCCTTTAAATGGCAATAATAAATATATATATATACACATATACATATACATATACAGTCGAACCTCGCATTTCAAGGGAAGAGCTAAAATCTTCGAGTTGTAGAGGTTTCGACTTATCGAAATTCGTTTTTCCTTTTCGCGGAGCGTAAGGGAATGAACCAAATTTTTGTTTTATAGAGGTTTTCGAGTTATCGAGGTTTGACTGTATATATACATACTGTATATATACATACACATATCACGCACGCACGCACGCACGCACGCACGCACGCACGCACGCACATATATTTGCTAATGTATTCCAAGCAAAAACATTCATTCAGGTATTACTCTAAAGATTATTAACTTGCAGCAGTAAATCGGTATTTTGTTTTTGTAACATAAAATCATTTAGACTGATTTAAAAATAATTAATAAGTCGCTTTTTTAACGACTTCTGACTAGATCGATAGTGTTCGATGCTTTGTACTTGAAAATATCAAGAAAATTTAAAAAAAATTATGGCATTCCACTAAATCTACTAATTTTTAATATTAATTTTGTTTGTACACTGATAAATATTTAAACAAAGAGATCAAAACGTATAATGTGTGTGTGTGTATAATATTTTTGTATTCAATAACGAACACACGGACATCTTGTATTTTTGCTCGCATATGACCAAAGATCTTGTTTCAAATTCTGGTATCTTCTTTCCATTGTCTACTAACATGCTCTGTAGTTTAACGAAAAAAAAAAAAGAAAAATAACAAGAAAAGTAACGTTTCAGCCGTTTTCCCGTGAAAAACTAAAGAAGAAAAACGTGCTAAAACACTGGTGACCCAGAGTTTCATTATTAGGGTTAATGACAGACTTATTGCGGAGTGTCAACTGCAAAAACATTCGGATCCAAGGCGGACAAAGGCAAATCGTGACCTGTACTCCGCGCGTAGCACTGATCCCGACCTCACCTAACTGGAGGTTAGTGACGTAACCCATCCTGAAGAGGTGCCGATAGAGGGGAGCGCCCGCAGGATGCGAGTGCACCGAACGCATAATGCGACACAGCGAGTTCAAAGTCACGATACATCTTACTTCGTTTATAGCGCACAAATCGCAAGTCACATCTTTTTGTTTCAACTTTCGGAATTTATTTTTTTCTCAGAAGATTATACTATTAATCTCAACGACAAAAGACGAGACAAAAATGAATTTTATATCTTTTGAAAAATTAATCCGAAATCAGAGGAAACAAGATGATTTCGCGTACGGCACGGTAATGTGTTGCAACATAAACAAATTAATCTCTTCCTGACAATCGATCGTTCCATCAAAATCGATGACAAAAATGAACGGATGTGACGAACTCGAATAAGTTTTACAAGCTTGGAAAGTTGTGATCGTTTCAAGGAAGAAAAGCTGTCCAAAAGCAGCGATAGTGATACCAACAAGTTGGAAAATGAGTGTCCTTTCTTTGTCACTGCAAGCAATTATTCATTAGCAAATTTGATGGATTTTACTGAATTCAATCTATTATCAAACTCGTAATTAGCAAATAGAGCGAAATAATAACAATATAATGGAAAAAAATTATCGATGTGATAATAAGCTTTTTTTTTTTATTTTTATGCAAAACATAAAGTCCTACAATAAAGAAGAATCACCGAATTCCTACGTGAAAATTGCCACAGTTTATTCTGATTTTTTTTTGTCACAAAGAGAAATTCCTCACATTTTCGCAATACTTTCCCAGAAGAATGACAACTATCAAGGAGCATCAGGTGGTTATGTCAGCAATTGCTATACCGCTGTTTCACGTAAAGACGAAAGAAAGAGATAGGACTGGCGGCGGAGAACAACGGGGATCTCTCTCTAAAGGTTCGGTAAGGTAAGGGTAATGGTAAGGGTGAAGCTCGGTCAGCCGGGGGCGATACGCCATGAGTATCGACCGCGTCGCCGGTCGCCGGAGACACTTTTGTACGTTAAACGAACGCGACCAAAGACCAGAGAAAGGAAAGGCACGATTAACAAAAAATATCCCTTCGATTATGTTTCTCTCTAAAATCCTGCTAAAATAAAAACAGTTCCGAGTTTCATAGAGATCATGCGGTTCGGTGTATTAAAAAAAAAAGAAAAAAACGGTAGAAAGTGTGAATATCTCTAGATCGCAAAACAATCGAGAACGACGTAAAAGCGACAATAAAACTGCAATAAAGATATTTCTAAAAGAATATTGACAAGACTTGCTTGTTTGCCGTTTTGAAAGCGCAGATGTGGCAAAATACGCGTCTTGTAAGTAGCTTAAAACAAGTTTAAATAAAGAGGCACAAAAAATATATTATTTCTTCTCTTCTTTCCTTTTTTTTCTTTTTTACCAATGTTTATTTCGTCTGTTGAAAGACGAAGACAATAATACACTTCTCATGCTCTGAACTAAACCGACCGGCTTTTACCCCCAAAAAGAGAAGAAGAAAAAGAAGAGCGGCGAAGACCGGAAACACGTGTGAGCGAGAAAACCACACCAACGACAACATCAACCCCTTCTGTGTCAGGTTTGCTGCCGCCTGTGTGTTATGCAACGCGAACGGAGAAGTTGACAAAAAGTTGTCCCATTGAAGTGACCTCGCTCGGAACAATTCGTATGTTTTATAAACGGAGAGGAGAGCCGCAAGATCGATTTGTACAAAAGACCGAGATAGCGTTATTACACGCGAATACGATGACGTCTCCGATGTGCCAGGAACGAGAGTGAGAGAGAGAGAGAGAGAGAGAGCAACGTAGGTTCTCACTTATCTATCGTTCCCGGTCGGCTACGTGACGACGTCGCGACCTGATATCGATCTCGATAACTTTTCTGTTTAAAAAAATAGTTACCGCGAAACGATGACTGACGTATAAAAAACGTCAGTCTTTTTTTCTGTCTCCTTTTCCTTTGTAATAGCAATTAACATAAAACAGAACGTTCATCTATGCATATTTTTGTATATACGTGGATTGTATACATCGTATATTTTTAAGTAAACAAGAACATTTTGCTAACAAAAATAGGCGCTTCACAGATTGGAATCTTGGACTCGGTATGTATCTCCAATTTCCCATCAGTTCCAAATTGATCTAATCAATGTCTAGACAATTTTTATAATCAAAAGTTTTGCGAAACACCAACGAAATAGGAGTCTTGTCTCTCTTGATCTCGGTCTTCCGCGTGCGAGATAACGCACAATCTCCAACAACAAGTCTGACTTTCGAAAAGACGGGAGGAAGCGCGAAGGAAGAGAACGTTGGATATCTGCATGCTAGAGCAACCGCTTAATCCTCTTCCCATCCAGCTAGCCATCAGACGGCCGACTCGCGCCTGTTCGTCCCACCACGACTTGCGCCGTGCTCGCTTCCTCCCGTCTCCGTTCAGGTCTTCATCGCGACTCCCACGTTCTCCTGTGCGGCGCGGCGTGGACGTCGTTAAATTGCCACGGGGGTCACCGACCCCTCTCCCCCGAGGCCCTCGTCCACGGGTCACGGCCACTGTCCTCTAGTCTACTCGCCGGGAATCAGCCGCGCGATGAGAGAAGACGAGTTCCGCGCGCTCTATGGGTCAATACGCACGCACGTCGTACGCGAGGATCACCGACACGTTTATATCTCGCACCGCGTGTTATATAATAACCGCGATATCGTTATTTGTATATGTAAAATACATAAAGACATTTGGACTTGAGTCCAAAATCTACTTATACATAGTCTGAATTACATATTCGGAAGTAAACAATTCGCGCGCCAATAAGAACATAAAATAGAATCGGTCCTGCTAAAGTGTTCGATACATGATGAAGCTGATATATATTTTACGCGTTAACATCTGCGTTAGCTCTTGTGTCCTTACTTTTGATTATATCGCAGAATCGTAAAACTTTATTGCATTTTAAAATTATATCTCATTATCAAAGCCAAATTAAATCTGTTGTTTTAACTCGTAGCTTTTTGCGTGTATAAAAAACAAAAAACGATATACTGACTAGATTAGTGATGTGAGAGAACTCAAAAAAAATAAGACAGACAAAATGTTCTTTCGTACAACAGTAAGAAATTTCTGAGAAGATTCTCACAAAAATAAATAAATAAATAAATAAAACTAGTAATACAAAGAAAAATCGTATTCAAATAAGTAAAGTTTGAAGTAAGAAAAATTTTG